ATAGTGTTTTAGGGCCGATATCAAATTAAATCCAATATTTATTCCGGAACGGACATCCCTAAATCTAAATGACTTCCTATCTCTGTGTGTGTGTGTGTGTGTTGTCATTGTATTTTTCCAGTGATTTTCTCTATTCCTTTTGATCTCTCCTCAGTTCTCCACCCATTCACGTATTCCATCGTCACATACATTCACGAGTCACTTTGAGTCAGACATGTCACCATGATGTCTCCTCATCACTTCATTCACTCCTGTTACGTTCCAGAGATTTCATGTTTATTTTCAGAAAGAACCAATAAACGTAATGGTATCACAGCCAAGTTGATTTGTGAATAATGTCCTGGTTTGGAAAATATCCACCATGACTGATCGTTCTTGATGTTGCTCCAAAGTCGGCTTGTGTTGTCAAAACAAAAAACGAGAAGGAAGAATATTTTTCTAAATGTTCTCCTAACAACAAACAATAAAAGAGCAAGTCAGTCATCGATGCATAAATATCCCTATGAGTAGCTAATAAAAACAGTGTGCCATTTAAATAGATGGTAAACAGCTTTATTAAAATGTACTTTAACCCTTTGATGCATGAATTATGAAATCTTCAACCACGATTTTTTAAACTATTTTTTTCATTCATCTTTAGGTGTGAATGAAACAAATTTCAACAAATATTTTTTGTAACATTTAATAATTTACAAATAATTTATTACATGTCCACCCCAGTGGACAGCGTGCATTCTGAACATGAAACATGTTGGCTTGACTTACTGAAATCCAAATGGAGGGGCTCAAGTGCAATAAAGTCTTCAACAGCTGTGTTTAATGGCAAAAAAATTAATAAATAACAATTTTGAGTGCCTGTCCACTGTAGTGACCATTATGCATCAAACGGTTAAACCTAATTATCGATCATCTAACATTACTAAAACAACTATATAGTAAACAGCTGTATTTATTATGTAAACAGTAGTGGAGAAACAAAACGGGCTCTTACCACCAGCAGATCCTCCACCAGAAGGCAGCAGACATGCATGGGACTGGATATGACAGGTTTTTGATGAAAGTACTAATCCTGATGCTCCATCTGGATGCTTTAATGCCGGATGTTGTTTGAATAGTTCTTACACAAAAGCCACAGGCTTGAACTCTTGTGTGTCACTCATCAGCTGTATTCTGGACATTCAGCATCCACCTGGAAGCTCAAGCCAAAGTAACCTTACACTAAAACCTCCCCCTAGTGGCTGCTTCCAGTATGGGTCCATCCATCCATCCATTGTCTGAACCCGCTTAGTCCACGTAGGGTCGTGGGGGGGCTGGTGCCTATCTCCAGCGGTCAATGGAAAATCAGGCAGGGTACACCCTGGACAGAGAGCCAGTCCATCGCAGGGCAACACAGAGACACACAGGACAAACAATCACACACACACACACACACACACACACACACACACACACACACACACACACACACACACACACACACACACACACACACACACACACACACACACACACACACACACACACACACACACACACACTCGCACCTAAAGACAATTTAGACAGACCAATCAACCTAACAGTTATGTTTTTGGACTGTGGGAGGAAGCCGGCGTACCCGGAGAGAACTTAACTAAACAATAAAACCCAAAATAAAAAATAGAAATAGTATACCTCAGATCGTTTTTGGTAACACTTTACAACAACGGTCCCTAAAGTAACTAAACTAAAATAACCCAAACCTCTACAATTATTAGAATTATTCAAACACAAGTTTGCTGCATGGACATCATTAGATAGTTTAGCTGAATCTTAACATGATGCACTGAGTACAAAATTCACCAAGCACTTGTTGCAACAGTCCATAAAAGATGTTCCAACACAGGGTCTTCAGTGCAAAAGTCTGTCTGATGCTAAAGTGACATATTGTAAAAATGTACAATAAAAGCATTTCATTGATCTGCTACCAAATATTTGAGTTTTGAGTTGGAGGACATTTGTTCTTGATCGGTTTCTCCTCTGAGTAGCGGTTAGCTCCACTCTCGAGTGAGAATTTTCCCATGTTCCTTATAAATGTTATAATCTGAATTGCTTTCTGCAGCAAGTAAGATAAAGGCCAACTTCCAGCTACTTTTATTTCCTTTTGTGGACAAAAACGAAGAAAACCCTTCACGACCATCTGACATCGTCTCTCTGTCCCAGAGTTAGGCAGGATTTCACGGTAATAACAGAACCACTGTGACAAATCAGAGCCTGGTTGAAATTCTTTATGTTTGTTTTCTGAAAGCTGACCAGGAAAGGGGATGGAGAATATTTCTTTCACGTGTCCTGGAAGTGCCTCCAAAAGAAAAACAGAGAGAGTTTCCAGAAGAGGCGAAGCAGCCGTAACCACTGGTAATGTGTTTCTCATGCTGGTGCATTCATTGCAGAGAGGGAGGCAAATGCCTTTGGTTAGGCAGAGCTATTTATTCCATCCCTGGAAACGGATAAAGAACAATAAAGGCATTCTCAACAAAAAGGAGCTCGACCTGATGCTGCTGCCTGTTTTCGTCCCATCTGGGGTGACTATTCTCATCTGTGGCCACTGAAGATTTAGAAAGCCACACAACTGGCACGCTGAGATCTGAGAGAACTTTTCAACTCAAAGGCTGGAGAAGAAACTAAACCAAAACAAGGAACGCTGCTAATTTAGACCTCCGAGGTTTCAGGTTCAGTGGAGGAAACAATATTATAGCCAGTTCTGTTGTTTGGACTTGCTGCTCCCAGAGCACTGTGTGTGTGTGTGTGTGTGTGTGTGTGTGTGTGTGTGTGTGTGTGTGTGTGTGTGTGTGTGTGTGTGTGTGTGTGTGTGTGTGTGTGTGTGTGTGTGTGGCTCAGGGTTTGAGCCACACACACACACACACAAGCATCACATACACCCACACCCTGAAACACATACACTCACCCTCAAACACACACACACACACACACACACACACACACACACACACACACACACACACACACACACACAAGCACCACATACACCCACACCCTGAAACACATACACTCACCCTCAAACACACACACACACACACACACAAGCACCACATACACCCACACCCTGAAACACATACACTCACCCTCAAACACACACACACACACACACACACACACACACACACACACACACACACACACACACACACACACACACACCCTGAAACACATACACTCACCCTCAAACACACACACACACACACACACAAACACACACACTCACCCTCAAACACACACACACACACACACACACACACACACACACACACACTCACCCTCAAACACACACACACACACACACACACACACACACACACACACACACACACACACACACACACACACACACACACACATACTCTACAGTTGTGGCCAAAAGTTTTGAGAATGACACAAAAATGGGAAATTGGAAAAGTTGCTGCTTACGCTTGTATAATAGAAATTTGCACACACTCCAGGATGTTATGGAGAGTGATCAGATGAACTGCGTAGTCCTTTTTTGCCATGGAAATTAACTTAAAACCAAAAAAAACTTTCACTGCATTTTATCGCTGTCATTAAAGGACCTGCTGAGATCAGCTCAGTGATCATCTTGCTAACTCAGGTGAGAATGTTGACGAGCACAAGGCTGGAGATCATCATGACAGGCTGATTGGGTTAGAATGGCAGACTTGACATGTTACAGTTTTGCTCAATTGTTTACACACATTTTCTGGTACTTGAGACAAAATGACCACAACATGTAACCAATTACTCTGCTAAACTACAAGCACAATTCCTGCTTTGCACTCAAATTGCAAATCTAAAACACTTTTTCTTTTTAAACACTACACACAATTCTCTGCTGTTGGCACAATTTTCATGCAGAAAATATCTTGTTTTCACAAAGAACACACTGCTTTTCAAATATGCACACTGACTCATCACAAGGGCAAACACCTGTCACACAGTTTTACAATCAGCAATCAGAGCTTTAGCATAAAAGGGCAACAGGTGAGCTCTTCTGTTTTAGAGCAATGGATGCCAACATTGGTAACAGAGGCAGAGCCAGAGGAGTGAGAGTAAGAGGACGAGGAGGGCGAGGACCGTAATCTCTGATGAGATCCGAGCCACTTTGGTTGATCATGTGGTCAACCATGGTTTTACAATGAGGGAGGCTGGGCAAAGAGTACAGCCAAATTTGAGCAGGTACACTGTAGCATCCATCATCTGGACTTTCCAAAATGAGAATAGGTAAGAAATCTTCTCTCACTAGAAAATGGCAGTACGGCATACCAATACAATCAGTATTCAATGAGTATAGTAGTAGTATTGCCAGTGGTCTGGAAACCCTGTCTCTCTGAGGGATGTGTCACTTGGAAAAATGTTCTCTGATTATGAAACTTCGGCTGAACAGCGCTTGTTCCCGTCTCTAATACGGAGACGCATGACGCATCCAGTCTGAGGCAGAATCGCCTCTTCAGCTCAGAAAGCTCCTGTAGAGACATTTGATCACGCACAAAGTTTATGTGGAGCAGAAGCGGTCGGGCCACGGCAGGTGAAACGTTCCTAGCCTACATGAAGTGAAACTGTTTAATTGTAACATTAATATGTTACTGGACATGCTGGTCTGGTTGGTTAGACCAGTGTTTGAAGTGGAAAACACACACACACACACACACACACACCAATTAAAATAATGCTGATAGCGTGGACTAAAAGACAGGTGATGGTTTACGTGTTTAAATGATCAGGCTGCTGTAAAATGTAATCTCCATCCACATCCAGACACAATTATCCTCTATTCTTTCTCTATTTTCTCTGCTCTTGGGGTCAGAGGTTAATTAAACACTCACTGAAAAGACAGGTTCAACTAGCAGAGAGAACGGTCTGACTGAGAAGGTTTTTGGCTCACATTCAGAAAAACGATGTTTGTAAATAAACAGACAGATGAGAAATGCCTGCTATAAGTCATGAGACGAATATTAAAACAAAATAGATGTCGTATATTTCTCCCTATGGAATCTGTGATACAGTCAGTGGTACGGTGCTGGTCTCAGGTCAGGCTGCCAGATGTTGGTCGCTGGCTGCGGCTGCTCGCTCCGGGGCTGCTGGACGCTGCAACAGAAAGATAAAAATACCATCAGTTCTGGGACTTTTTAAAGGAAACACTTAGCTTCTACAGCCTGAATAGAACCAACACAAACATTCACATGAAGCATATAATCACACATGTAAAGTTCTTTTAAATTCATTCAACAATCAAGCTGCGGTGACATCATCACATCTAATGATCCACAGAAATGTTTCTTACCTGCAGAGCTGGCGGTCGGCTCCTTCTTAACGCCTTCTGCCTTCTGGCCCCAAAAACACACACAAGAGTTTTATATCAGTAAGTGTTCATCAGCATCAGGTGTGTGAGGTCATGGTGTCTGAGCAGAGTGTACGTACGCGGTTGTAGTTGGGGACCCAGCCTGGGTGCTGCTGCTCGTGGAGCCTCTGTTCCTTGTGAGCCTGGTCCATGTAGATGTTCCTCTGCTCAGGAGACAGTTCCCTCCACTGTGAACAGAAGACAGTGAGACAAGCTGTTGGTGAACAACAATCCACGGTAGCAAAACCATCATCATTCTGTCGCAAACACACTTACCCTCTGGCCCACGACGACGTTGACAGCAGCGCTGCCTGTAACCTATGACAGACTGTCACTATGGTAAAGCTATGGAATCTTGCGTTACCATAGTTACAGCTCAGGTGCATCATTTAAAACGCTTTATTATTAAGGCTAGAACCTTCCAGACTTCAGTTCCATCTGGAGAGAGTAGGACCTTTTCTCTGCGGTCTCTGTGTTTGCTGACTTTAGTCTTCCAGAGAGCAGCTCCAGCAGGTAATAAAACTACCCACAAACAAACCAGCCCAACATCTGACATGTTTAGGCTTTCAGATTTATCTGAAGTGTTTCCTGTGCTTTACTGGGAGACTTGAACATCCCTCAAGGTAAACTGGTTTTATCATTTATATAAAATACACCTGCTGGAAAAAACAAAATGAACAAAAACCCCGTAAGCAGGTCAGATTACAGATAAACAGTCAAGATAAAACTACTTTGAATCTGAAATGTGAGTTATAAACGTAAATTTCTACAACTAGACCTACATGCTATCTGCCGTGTGCAGTAGTGGTGTCTGGAGAAGGGACTGATCTTTATTTCTGCACCAGTTTGTCAGAGATATAAATAAATGCCACTTTTTCATCAGTGAATAACTTATAACTTTAATAATATTAAGTCAACAAACTATTTTGACTTGTTTACATTTAAAAATGAATCCATCAGCTAATAGAAGAGCCATTTGACTTGATTTAGCAAACAGAAAAGTCAAGAGGCTCAACTGCAGGTTATCTTTATGCACGTATTTAACTTCTAAGTAACGTATAGTTTTTGTCACGTTGCTCTTTGATTAAACAATACCAGGAAAACTGAAATCTCTGTTTATATTTATAACCTTTCCTGCTAAATGAGCATCAAGACCATGGAGAATTTTCTTTAATGCCAAACGGTTTGTTATTTGTCTGAAGAGGATTGCATCATCTTCTTTAAGTTCTGATATCTTTTTATTAAATATATTTCTACGTCATCAAACATCTGGTCTGTGATCCGATCATTATTATGCATAAGAGGTACACCTGATGGTGGCTCCTTTTATGTTAAATCACATTTAGAGGGACAGGATGACAAAATTTAAAATGCAAACAAAAAATAAATCTTTTAAAAAGTAATGAAGTTATTGAATATAATATAACATGTAAAGCTTTTCTTTATTTGTACTTTACTTATTTTCTTCAGGTCTACTTTTTACTTTTACTTCACTAGTTTTTAAAGCCACTGTCTGTACTTCCTACTTCACTACAATAGGGAGCTAGGTCTCCTCTCTTCGCGGTCGGCTCACGGGTCCCCGGAAGAACGAAAACATGAATGCAAGTCAACGGAGCTAAAACGCCATTTTCTAATCCGCTTTGCCTAACGTCCTGGATCACACACATGTTGTACTTCAGTTTAAATGTAATCCAACGATGGGTGGTTCAGTCACGCCAGTCACGTACTTTGAAATTTATCAGCTTGTAACAGTTCTACGTTAGCATGACTACAAATCCGACATCGGCGCGTTGCGTACATGACGTCACCACAGACTCTCTGCCATTTTCCCTCTGTTTTTCTCCGTGCCTGCTTCGATGATGTCACTTTCATGAAGCGCATTTGTAGTCCTGGACTTATTACACAAAACTTAAAATAACGTTTCCCCCCTTTCGAAAAGAAGCCGTTCTTGGTATTAAAATGCATCTTCATGGACATCATGTGTGAAATCCATGGCACATAGCAAGCGGAATTAGAAAATAGCGTTTTTAGCACCGTTGGCTTGCATTCATTTTTTTGTTCTTCCGGGGACCCGTGGTCCGGAAGTAGATGGGTGTGACTTAGGCTCCCTGTGGAGCGCTGTCTGTCACCTATGGCAGACTGTCACTATGGTAAAGCTATGGAATCTTGCGTTACCATAGTTACAGCTCAGGTGCATCATTTAAAATGCTTTAAGGCTAGAACCTTCCAGACTTCAGTTCCATCTGGAGAGAGTAGGACCTTTTCTCTGCGGTCTCTGTGTTTGCTGACTTTAGTCTTCCAGAGAGCAGCTCCAGCAGGTAATAAAACTACCCACCAACAAACCAGCCCAACATCTGACATGTTTAGACTTTCAGATTTATCTGAAGTGTTTCCTGTGCTTTACTGGGAGACTTTAACATCCCTCAAGTCAGGGGTGTCAAATATGCGGCCCGCGGGCTGGATCCGGCCCGCAAGCGGGTTAAATCCGGCCCGCGAGATGGTTGTGTAAACTTTATTTTCATACTTTACAATGTAGAGTGAAAATAAACTTATCTTTGTGAGCAAGTTTTCTCTGTAATGAGTATAAATAAAACAAAGCTGCGCTCAAGGCTCACACAAGAACTTGAATCACATCCTGAAGTTGGCCGCCACGCAGGATGTGACTTCTGATATTGATGTGCTGGTGAAAGCTAAAAGATGTTAGGTAAAATGAGTCAAATATACTTTAAGTGCTGCATGAAACTGATCTTGCCATGTGATCTGTAAGCTCTTTGAATCACTAAGGAATGTTTTTTTATTTGTTGATTTATTTATTTATTTATTTATTTTTTCAAATTTTCAAGTACACTTCAGGTGTTGTACTTGTACTACACTGTCCTCAGGCTCCAGCCTTGTTTTATATTGATTGCATTAAAACAAAGAAAACAATCTGAAGTTTTTTTTTAATTTACCGGTCCGGCCCACTTGGGACTAGATTTCCCTCAATGTGGCCCCTGAGCTAAAATGAGTTTGACACCCCTGCTCAGGGTAAACTGGTTTTATCATTTATATAAAATACACCTGCTGGAAAAACAAAGTAAACAACAACCCCGTAAGCAGGTCAGATCACAGATAAACAGTCAAGATAAAACTACTTTGAATCTGAAATGTGAGTTATAAACATACATTTCTACAACTAGACCTACATGCTATCTGCCGTGTGCAGTAGTGGTGTCTGGAGAAGGGACTGATCTTTATTTCTGCACCAGTTGGTCAGAAATATAAATAAATGCCACTTTTTCATCAGTGAATAACTTATAACTTTAATAACATTAAGTGAACAAACTATTTTGACTTGTTTACATTTAAAAATGGATCTAGTGTTTAACGAGTTCCTGATTAAAAAGAGCAAAGGCTGCTGAATAAACCACATAGAGTAGAATAAAGTGATTTCTCCAGCTGTGCTTTTATAATCTAGATCTACACGCGGTGGCTTCTGGTCGCTGCAGTGATGCTGACTCTCAGCTGGGAGCGGTGGCAGTTTCGTTCACATCTGACCTAAAACTGAGCAAAAGGATGTGAACAGAAATCCTTTTTGTTTCCATCTCCGTTTGAGCCTAAAAGTGTTTCTGAACGAGCCGGATAAGAAAATGAAGCAAAGCCTGATGTAAACAACACAACTGAAAGTTTCTCTTCACAGATCTGAAACCTGTTGAGACAAAAACATGAAGTATCTCCAGTGAGACTGCGGTCGGGTTAAAACATGAAGAATAAAATAAATTCACAACTGAAATCCAGACGTTTCACTTGGTGAAGTAAAACACAACAAACGATCTTCAGAAACTGGTGTTTAAACAGAGTGCTGGAGATGAAACGGTTCACATGTAACAGCAGCTGTTGCCTCAGTCGCCGTGATGAACATGGATCTGACCATAGAAACTGATCAGAGATCAGTTTGTTACCAGTAACAGTAGATGTGATGTTTCCTGCTTGATGTCTCTGATGCCATGATGTCTGACGTCTTGTAACGGGTTTTAAAGCTTCTTCTTCTTCTCATCCTGTGTCACAGAACGATGGAGCAATACATGCGCCTCCTGAGTTTTGACAGGTACATGGAGGACTTCGGGGGGGAGGGAGTTCTTCTCCCTTCTGGATGAGATCTTTAAGGAGCACCTTCCCATTCCTTTTCCTCCTCCACCTTCTCCTCTTGAACATCCTCCCTCGCCTTTCCTTCCTTCTATTTCTCCTGCTTCATCTCCCCCTCCTCCATCTCCTTTTTAGCTCCTCCACTTTATCCTACTGCTTTTCTTCACCTCCCACCCTCTCCTCCTGTTGTTTCTTCTCTGCCTTCACCTCATACTCCCACTGTCCCTTCTCTGCCATCCCTTCTTCCTGCTACTCCACCTGCTGCTCCTGCTTCTGCTCCTCATACTCCCACTGTCCCTTCTCCGCCACCATCCCTTCTTCCTGCTACTCCACCTGCTGCTCCTGCTCCTGCTCCTCATACTCCCACTGTCCCTTCTCCGCCACCATCCCTTCTTCCTGCTACTCCACCTGCTGCTCCTGCTCCTGCTCCTCATACTCCCACTGTCCCTTCTCTGCCATCCCTTCTTCCTGCTACTCCACCTGCTGCTCCTGCTTCTGCTCCGGTCTCCGACCCAAAGTCAGTTTTGATTTGACCGTTTCAGAATAATATATCTATAAAGTTTACCACATTTCCAGGATGTAGATGCTGACAGGTGTGTGTTGTGTTTTGTCTCTGCAGTAAGAGAAAGCGTGGGCACCAGCAGGAGGACCGTCCCTATGTGAAGAAGCCACCAAATGCCTTCATGATCTTCCTGCGGGACCAGAGGCCCAAGGTGGTGGCTGAGCTGAAGCTGGCAGACAGCGCTGCTGTCAACGTCGTCGTGGGCCAGAGGGTAAGTGTGTTTGCGACAGAATGATGATGGTTTTGCTACCGTGGATTGTTGTTCACCAACAGCTTGTCTCACTGTCTTCTGTTCACAGTGGAGGGAACTGTCTCCTGAGCAGAGGAACATCTACATGGACCAGGCTCACAAAGAACAGAGGCTCCACGAGCAGCAGCACCCAGGCTGGGTCCCCAACTACAACCGCGTACGTACACTCTGCTCAGACACCATGACCTCACACACCTGATGCTGATGAACACTTACTGATATAAAACTCTTGTGTGTGTTTTTGGGGCCAGAAGGCAAAACGCGTTAAGAAGGAGCCGACCGCCAGCTCTGCAGGTAAGAAACATTTCTGTAGATCATTAGATGTGATGATGTCACCACAGCTTGATTGTTGAATGAATTTAGATGAACTTTACATGTGTGATTATATGCTTCATGTGAATGTTTGTGTTGGCATTCAGGCCGGAAAAACACACACACACACACACGCACGCATACGCACACGCACACACACGCATGTGCACACGCACATGTGCGCACACACACACACATAGATAAACACTAGGGCTTTGTGGGACAGGGTTTAGGACTAGGGTGGGAGTGAGACGGGTGAGGTTGTGAACCAGCAGCCTCGCCCTTCAACCACCTGCTCTGGCCCTTGACCGGTCCTCTTATTTTTTGCACCACAGACACGTCACGTTTTGTTTTTTTGTTTTTCTGGAGGGTGGGGGCAATGGTAAGTTGGGATTCTGCTATCTGCAACTAGTAGGATTCCCCTATCAGGACACCACCTCCCCTCTCTTATTGAGCGCGTGCGCACGCACACACACACACACGCATGTGCACACACACACACACACACACACACACGCACGCACACGTGCATGTGCACATGCGCGTAGACACACACACACACACACACACACATGCACACACACATACACAGGTGAAGGCTCCAGAAGTTTTTTTCCTTTTAGTAAATTAACTCAATCGGTTATTTGTGTTTTGTTTTTATATTCCAGGCTGGACCCTTTGACACCTGGACCACTGGACACATTTTTTTAAATAAATCTTTTAAACGTTTTATCTTCGCTCCGTTTTTTGTTTTCTACACTTCAGTTCAACGTCAAACCTGAAAACTAGGCAATGAACTTGTTTTGAGTTAAAATGTTCAAACTATTCTCATTATAGTTTTTACTTTGTCTAAATCTGAACCGTGTTTTTTTTTTTTTTTATTTCTATGGTCAATTTTCCACAGCTGCAGCTGAACTAAGCTGCTTCACAAGGTGAGGAACAGACTAAAACCATCAACATATATTCTGGACAATTCGTGTCCATAGGCTCAAATTATACGTTTTTGTGCGCCATTTTGACCGTGTCACAGGTCTCGTCACGCCCAGACAATCCAAAAATGTGAAAATCAATCAATCAATCAATCAATCAATCAAAGCTTTATTTATAAAAGAGAAAAGAGGTGGAGCTGAGGGTGAGGCTGTTCACTTGGAACAGGGTTGGAACAACTTAGGTGTGTTCTTGCTGTGTCTTTGTAAATCCATGCTTTCGTTCTTTTTTAAACACAGAAACAGTTTTGTTTACCTGTTTGTTTACCTGTTTGTAGCTACAAACAGGTAAACAAAACTGTTTCTGTGTTTAAAAAAGAACGAAAGTAAGGGTTGGAACAAGTTAACCAGTGTATCTACTTGCTAACTTAGATAACCCAAGAAGCTAAGAAGGGCTCCTTGGACCGGGGTATCCCACCCGCACAGCAGACTGGCTCCCATGCGAAGCTGTAGTCATGCTGGTTGCCTGTGGAGATCTAATATGGACTGGGACTGTTAATTTACAAGCGGAGCCTCAGACCGCTGTAATCGCAACAGGGCGCCGTGGCCTTTTACATCAGCTCTTGCTCCATGGTCAGAGATAAGCAGGACACTAGCTACATGCTAACCCAAAGCTAACAGACCGTTTCCATCCATTTTCAGCAAGAAAAACGTGGTAGAGCGAGTCCAAAGTAAAGGCACCTCAAGGCCTCCTCAGTAACGACATCATAACTAGGTAAGCTGACCGAGGATATCTGGCTTCGTTGGTCCACCGTGGTGAAAGATTTGCGTGTCCGCCGTTGTTGGTGGTCCCTTCTCCGGAAGCTGGAGATCAGCGGAACATTAGCTACATATTAACCCGAAGCAAATGGAGATGGTCCAGGTGTTTTCAGCAAGAAAAATGCGGTTGAGCAACTCAAAAGTGAAGCAGCATCAACAAAAGGAGCCGCGGTGTTTCTGTGGTCTCCCTCAGAGATCCACCAATGACCAGCATGACTACAGCTGCTGCTCTGGGAAACTGGAACAGTCAGCCGCCTATTTTCAGGTAGGAGCAGGGCTGGACTGGGACAAAAATTCAGCCCGGGTATTTTGATTGGAGACCGGCCCATCACCTGGTTTTTTTGGAAAAGGCATTAAGCCTTACGCTGTTTCTGACACACACCAACGTGCACTTTCTTATTGGTAATATTTATGTATCAATCTAATAAACGTAAACCTACACCATCCTTCCTATCCTGGTATTCTAAAAAGTAGGGTTGGGGGTAAATGATTATTTTTAAAACGATTATTCTGACGATTATTTTTTCGAATAGTCGACTATTCTAATGACTATTTAGAAGATTAATCTAGCGATTATTTTTCTATTGCACAATTAATAAAAACCAAAAAATCTCAAATAAATTCCCCCCCAAAAATTGAGAAGTTGTTACTCTAAGAGAATAAACACTACAGGCCTTCCATTTTGTATAACACTGCTTTTATTGTGTTGCGGTTGGTTATATTCTGGTGACGTGTAGATCATGCAGGCTGCTGCCTGAGAGGTGGTTGGAGAAGGAGTGTCTCCATGCTGCTTTGTTTTGGTCACTTATGTGCATGAGGCGAGTGGTGTTACGACCCTTCCTGGAGAGTCACGTGTAAAGGGTTAAATTTACCTAAATATTACCTTATTTATTATCTCTTGATGTTATTAGTCCCTATTTCTGTGGTTAATTGTAAATAGTTTCTTGAAATGTTTCTCCTATTTTAACTGTAAATCCTTCTAGCTGTTATATTTATAACAAGAAACAGATATTCGGACGGAATATTTTCATGTTTATTCGAATATGATTGTGGAACACACCCAGCATCATTATAAATTAAGTAATATTTATGCCAATTTAAGCCTTTACGGGTGACCAGGACTCTGTGATCAATTTTTGGCAAGGGAAATGATCATTTGGTGCCATTTTTGAGGTGTTTATGAATGTGGAAGAGACCCAGCATCCTGTGATGGCACTAATAACATCAAGAGATAATAAATAAAGTAATATTTAGGTAAATTTAACCCTTTACAGGTGACCAGGACACTGTAATCAATTTTTGGCAAGGGAAATGATCATTTGTTGCCATTTTTGAGGTGTTTATGAATGTGGAAGAGACCCAGCATCCTGTGACGGCACTAATAACATCAAGAGATAATAAATAAAGTAAAATTTAGGTAAATTTAACCCTTTACACGTGACCAGGACACTGTAATCAATTTTTGGCAAGGGAACTTATCTTCTTTCTTTTTTTTTTGTGCCATTTTTGGGGTGTGTTTGATGATATAGTAGGCAGTATGAGTACAGTAACATCAACAGATAATACATAAAACCTTTATTTGGTCAATTTTAGCATCCATGAAAATGTGAGCGATTTAATCACTTTTTGGCAAGTAAAATGCCATTTTAGCTGTCTACAATTAAATCATCAATAAAGAGTTTAAAGATATTTTGATGTGTTTCCTATAGGTAAACAGGAGGGTATAGTCTCTATTTGGCAAGTGACAATCTTAATTTTATGTGCTGAAGTGCTTTTATCTTGTTACTTTTAAATAGAGCAACGTAATGTATAGATATTAACCTACACAGTGTCATTGTAAAGCCAAAGCTTGATCAGTTTAAATACTATTTTTCAAGTAAAAATGTGCCCCAAACTAGTTAACTGTGGCTCCATGTCAAGTGGACTAAAAGGAAGGAAGGGGAAAAAATCAAATCGCTGGAGAATTGTTTATTTCCATTTATACAACGTTTACATTCAATACAGGGTGCCATTTTACATTGTTTATTTATTTTTTTAGTATCAAGGCTGTAACATAAAGAAAGCCAGTTCTTACCACAAACCATCTTTCAATCGCAAATATTGCAAAAAGGATTAATATATCCTCATTGTAAACGTTAAAGACAAATAGCAACACTTAAAACAACTTCCGAACTGGAAAAACTAATATCCGCGTTAAACACCTGTTTAAGTACCGGAAGAGGTTATCTTTGCTTTCTGAATGTCCATATTGCTAGATATGCTGAGTTTTAGGGCGAAATCCTGGGGAATTTTGTCTAGAAATGCAATTACCTAACCGTGCGCGATCCCGCGGTGGCTAATCATTTTTTGGCAGCGAGTGGATTTATGGCACAACACCGGCTCGGGTTTCTCCTCCTCCTACCTCTTTTCTTCTCCAACCTGTCGCTGGGCTGAGGCTCCATCACTTCCTAAATTGATTTTACTTGAACCATCACTACCAAACAACTGTGAGATTTTAACACATGTGCCAGCATCAGCCTGAAGGGCCAGTTTCTTTTTTAGTCGAATTTTCTCCGCTCCTCCTTTCCGTTTTTTGTTCTCCATTTTGTAAAGCTCGTCTGTCTGTTTACTGAGATTCACAAAAAACTGGCGGGTGCATCAGACCTCTGGCTATTGGTCCAGCCCAGAGTGTATTATTACCAATTGGCCAATCCACCAACTTTTGCGAGGCATCGCGTGGGGCGGCGCGGACAAGTTGTCCGCAACAACTAGAGGCAAGAAAAAACAAAAAAACAAACAAAAAAAAACAGACACCGGCCCATAAAAGATGAAAGGGTCGGCCCAGCAGGCAGTTGCGCTATGCCCTATGGTCAGTCCAGCGCTGGGTAGGAGACAGTAGAAGCTGACACCCACTTGTAGCGGAAATCCACATTTTATATCCTCAGGTCAACTTTGTATGGATTTACACGGAAAAGAACAATAACATTGTCGCACAAAGGGTTCTTTCACATTTAGCAGAAGAAAATAAAGAGGGGAATTTGAAACTGGCCCACAGTTGGGCATTCTGGTTAACATTTTTCTCCCAGGAACGTAAATTTTACCAAGTGACTTGTTAAGCCGGACATTATCAGGACTCGGTCTGTCTTACCTCAACCTGCCAATAACTGACTCTTCCCCCCCAGGCCGGGTGCTCGTAAAACTTCTCAAGGGTCATTCTGGAAGATTCCAGCATCTTGCTTTTATCAAAACCCTGGTATTTTTCTGTTTATCTATAATCAAAGAAGGTGTTTAGGTTGTTCAACCTTAAAATAGAAATCGAGGTGCTCTAAGATAAAATCTTATCAGCCACAGACCTAAACAGTTTGTTCTGGGTTTTCTTGTATGTTAATATGAATCATTTGGTGTTTCTCCAGTTAAAATTCATGCGAATGGTAAAACTTCAGTTTAAAGACATGAATTTTATTCTTTCCCATTTAAAGTAATACTTTGATGGTAAAGTAATACTTTTTGAGGCTTTATATGAATAACTATGTTAAATTGTGATCATGGACTTTCCATCTTGGAGAAGGTAGAGTTTATTTGGAAGAGCCACAGTACCCTCCAGTGGTTTTTGAGTAAGATACAGACGTGCCCAAAAGGTTATATAATAAGC